TATAATCTAAAGGCTAGTTATGCATATCTGGGAAAGCGGATCATCCACAGATGGCCATCGCACAGCCACTGCAAGTTTGTGCTGTAATCTAACTTTATTCCACTTATTGGAATATGGAATCCATGAGGAAAATGTTTTGTGAGCAGGTTCGTCGAACAGAAATATCCCATTTGTCAAATCTGAGGTGTCTAAAGCAAACAAACGCCTACGACAGATCCTACACAGTGGCATCTGCATTAAATACTCTTATGATATTATTTCATTCTTCAAGAACGCGAAAATATTCTAAAGTGCAATTTCGTGTTTTATGTCGCCTGAACGGGCAAGAAATGCAAATCGGCGATGCCCAATGATTCACGGATTCACGGATTGATACACAGGATCGAGGCTTTTGCCCAAGTCTCCCGGGTCGGTTTTGTTCTTGTCGGTCAGTGGCTGTCGTTCACCTGAAAGGCACAAGTGAAAAAAGGGTGTAGCACTGCTCTTTATGTTCTCAGCGCGGGGCAGTATGCTCGCCAGCGCGAGGATTCGCATAAATAAATGTCTAATAGTGCTTTAAATTGGGTTCGAGAAGGAGCGTGTACAACCGTCGGAAGAAGGTCATTCCACGGAGCTACTAACCGAAATGAAAATGTTTTGTTTAATGAATGTGTGTGCCCTGAGCTTGAAAATTTTCTTATTATGTCCTCGCCGGGTGTTTGCTGGGCCAACGATGAAAAACCTGTTTACCAAGCTTTGTTCAAACAGGGCGTAAGTAAGAATTAGGTCCCCTCGGAGGCGACGGTACTCCAGGGGAAAGAGATCAAGCGTCGCGAGACGCGTTTCGTAGTCCACGGACTTGAGGCCGGCAACCATTCTCGTGGCGGCCCGCTGGACACGCTCAATGAGGGTAACGTCTTTCGTACGTCCTGAGTAGACAACTTGGTTGGCGTACTCCAGGAGCGGTCTGACGTAGGCCCCATAGAGTATTTGGAAGTCCATGCGAGTAATACGGGAGAAGGTACGTCGGATCATCCGTAAAACGGCGAATGCCTTTTGGGCCGATTTCTCATGGTGTAGTGCGAAGGACAAGTTTGAGGAGACCCAGATGCCTAAATCTTTTTTGGCATCTATCCTCATGATGTTTTCTGGTCCCTTTTCACCATGCATAACAAAGGCATTCGCTGAATCCCCTCCAAACGACACATGGACGCACTTTTCATCATTCAGAGGAAGGTGCCAGTCCAACGACCACTGCTTGACATTTAGCTCACTTAAACAAAATGCTACGTGCAACATGTCACGGGAAGGTGCAAATCGATTAGACTAACTCCCCATTAAATTAGCAACTTCGGAAACCCTATAGATTCGGCGAACTCAATTTCGGTGAGCCAATAGCCTGCGGCCTCCTTGGGCCAGCGGCTCGAGGCACAATGCATTTTTCTGCAAAACCCTTGCCGGCAAAATAAAAACTTCAACGCCAATATATTGCACTTCTCAGCATATATGCTCGCTCTAAAAATCCCCCTCACCTGCCGTCATTTTTTGCGATTTCTTTTAATCAAACTCTTTTGAAAATTATTGGCGCAAATTCAGCATTTAATTTTGTGTGCTATTGCTTTGGAGGTGGCTTCAGAATCGTTCGTTCCTTCACGGCATTTGAGAAGACCTTAAATGAATACATGGAAGATAACTTTGTTGTCTGCTATGGCTTCGGAAGTGGCTTTCGTTGAGAAATTTGTGGGTGCACCGTTTTCATCCTTCACGGCATTCGAGAAGACCTTAAATGAAGGATAACCTTGTGGAATTTGTACGCTCATCTAGTAATCGAAACACCAACGCCATTTTGCGTTACGAATGGGTGTAGTGCAAGTGCAGCAGGCGTCCTCAGAGACTAACGGAAGCCCGGGGAATCCGAAGAAGCTAGTAAGCCGAGCGTATTTTCTAATAAAAAGTACGCAAAGCACCAGCTGTCCAGTGCGATTTTGTCTACGGGGGCAAAGGAACCAACTGGCGGTGACCTCCTTTTTCTTGAACACAGCCACAAACTGTCAGTTTTTGTACGATCGGCTTCCAGTTAATCGACGCCCAACCGAAGACGAGTTGGGCACATGCAAGGCCCTGCTGTAATATCGAACGCTGTCATGTGAGGTGCGGCAGTTTGTGGCGGATGAATTCGGAAAGATTTTTACCACTAAGGATATACACAACTACCGCCGAAAGTGTTGACCGGCTATGTTGAGTAGGCGCCGAATGTTTGGGTTTTATTGTGGCAGATGATATGCCTTCGGTCCTGGCAAAACTTCGGGAGACCGAACGCGTCCTTGTGTGTCAGGCAGAGGAAGTTCACTATATCCACAAATGTTTCTCCTGATGGCAGCAGGTAGCGTTATTCCGACGCTATCCAGATGTAGTAAATGTAGACGGAACGCATTCAAGAAACCGCCTTGGGTAAGTTTTTTGAAGCATCTAATATTCGGCACTTAGATATAAACTGTACACATTCTTGATGACGGACGGCATGGGAACCGGGCGTCCAGTCATGTATGCGTTCGTAGAGAGCAAGCAGTTTGCTCCCATGCGTAAATTGTTCGGCCTATTCAAAGAAATGATGGGCGAAACGTATCCGGTTAAGACCTTTGTAATGGACAAGTTGACGGCGCAAATGCGTGCTGCAAGAGTCGTGTTCGGCTGTGGCGTTATGCGTTGCCACTTTCATGTCCGCAAAGCCATCAAGATGCACGCATGTATCATTTAATATCCATGTAGTTTTGGTCATGGACACATTCTGCGAACAACCGGTACATATTTAACCGCACGGCTCGCCTAGACATTGCTGTACAGTAGGTCTTATGTTCATCGTATTACAGGCACGCAGATTCCGATAAAACCTACAGCTTGTGCGCCGAAACGATTCGCGATTTATTTCCTATCTTTCAGCTCGCTGATTGTACATCACCCGGAAATGGGCCATACACGCACAGTCCGTAATGGTTCATTTCGGTAATGTGACCAAAAACCGATTGGAGAATGTGAACGGCCGCCTTAAAGATCGGGTGCATCACTTCCACACGTTAGAGCATGCCATTCAAAAGGTGTCCAGGCAATCCGAATGGTTCGTGCGGGAGTTTGAGATGCATACGTCGTACCACTGCGACAGGCGGCAAATCCTGGAGGGTGACGCCTACGTTCTAAACGTGGTCTGTCGAATGACGACATGTGCATGCTCTCTGGTTTTGAGGCACTTGGGTCCGCGACCGCCGCGTCCACCGTATGAAAGTGTTGGAACAAACATGGTGTGGTCGAGCTGCGTACACGTTGCACTTGTTCCCAAACCAAAGCCGGCAGCTTTCGACGGCCTTCGTAAGGCCGTCCAGAAAACGCAAAGTTGTGCTTACTATCCGCGAAAGTTAGAAGGCCTTCACTGAGGAGTTATTCATTCGGAAATGCCAACTGACCGGTTACAAACCATTAAACAAGGAAGCAAAACTCTTATCTGCACCTTAGTTACAAAATCTCGACACGAATCTTCTCCCGAACGAGTCTTCCTGGAGACTCATTGCCCCCAATCATTCGTCGGTCAATTGAAAGCAAATGTTACAAAGTGGCCCCACGAATTCCGCAACAAAATTCCATTTTTCAGTCGAAGCAAAGCGAAATTCTGCGAACAACGCATACTACTCGCGTGCCTCCCGATCAGTAGTACCACCGTTACACCCGGTCCACAAACAGGGCGTGTTATGATGTTGACCTGGACCGAAGCACAGAGTCCCAGCACAGTGTGTTCCGGAAGTCTGTGTGTCCCCGTGTTTTCGGGTCCAGAGAGGAACTACTCGACAGCCGTGAGTCAGTTTGACAACTACGACCAAATCTGTAGAGCGCCAGCTAGAGGAAGGAGACGAAGATGATTTCATGTGACCCATCGGCTGAAGGTGGCATTGTGTGAACAGGCATCTACGACAGCATAGTCGCCGCAGTGAATTTTGGGGTAAGTATCTATAACAGTTTGTCGGCCTCACGCCTTATAGTGAGATTTCGATAACCTGAATTATATCTTCCTCTCTTTTCAGGACTTAAACGGCTAAATGAACACTCTTCATGAAGAAGAAAATGCGCCTAACAAAAGGACATATGTACACTTAAAAACGACCAATACATCTCAACATTCAGGGACATCCGTTTTTAGCCTTCTCTCGATTACAGATGGATGGGTGCGCTAGTCGCTTAGGCATCGTGTACCCCTAGCCGCATGTTAGTCGTGCGCGTCGGTTAGGTTCGTTCAACTGTCTGGTATGCTCGACGTAGGTTTTATGCGTCTAGTTAGTTAGGCATCGTGTACCCCTAGCCCCACGTCAGTCGTGTGCGTCGGTTAGGTTCGTTCAGCTGTCCGCTATGATTGACGTATATTCCATGTTCCTAGTCGATGAACCTCGAGGTCTTCCTAGCATAATTCGCAACCTATAATGGAAAACTCTGGTTTTTGTCAGCAAACGTGCACGACGTTCAGAAAATAATTAACGTGCACTACGGAATTTTTACTGGCAACAAAGAATCATCGACTAAAATTTGTTTGCACGAATGTGCCCCCACATATTTTGCATATCCAAAGGCCATTTAGGTTTTAGAATGTTGAGGAATTTTTTCCGGTGGAAAAATGCCTGAAAGTTACGTCTATTTTATGTGAGTCAACGTTTTCCACAATTCGCAGTTCATCACAGTCGATGGTGTTTATTGACCTTGAGAATTCGCTTACTTAAACAAATCGGCAAGGTAAACGATTTTCAATAATACAGGATCATATACATCATACATAGACATTTTACGCTATGAATCGGCAAGTCTGAAACTGCTGTAGATTTCGAGAAATCAAACTCATTATGCGAATAGCCAGCGGCCTCCTTGGGTCAATCATAAGTCTTCGGTTCATACTCCCGCCACCCGGCTTTCAACCATTCCGGATTAGGGTGACGGCGCAAGAAACGTGATCATGGCCACTACATTAATGGACACGAAAGGAGCCAATGGACTCCGAGGAGCTCTTGAATGCTGGAGAAACGAACCAATCAGGACGTTGCATTCCAGTCTTCACGGCGTCTTGTTTCACGTCCACTGCCGACGTTGTTTGCTATTGGGCGCAGCACGTTTTCGACACCGAGATGGAGTTTTCTCACCGGAGCGGTCCACTGAAACAAAGTAATAAAAGGCATAAACTGGAGAAAAAACGATCGGAATCGAAATCGACCACATCGTCGATTACAACAATACGGGTAAGTTAGTTATTCTTGTGTGAGAACCCGACCCACGGCGTCGTCCCCACCATAAATGCTGTTTGTTTGGTTTGTTTTGGACCACCGTTTTTCGGGTTTACAGAAGGGGGATATTGGTTTTGGGTATCTGTCCGTTTTCTTTCATGTGGCGACAGTGAGGTCTTATCCTCATGAATGAAATCACCTAACACACATGCAGACACTTATTCCCTTTTAGAATGGAACTGGCCTGGGGACCACCTCATCAGTCATTCGACTAGTGTAGTCGCCTACTGCGCGGCAAAGTACTAATTGACATGGAACGCACTTCCGGCTGAAGTAGCCCCAAAATATACTGTCACCTCCGAACTGAGGCTGGATAAATTCGACGCTGAACTGTTTGCTGGTTCACTGTGCAGCATCGGTACGATTGCCCCAGAGTTTTGCAGTTTTACATTTCTCTCGAAGATCTTTGATACGGTTTAGTAGGTATTAGCTTCGGGTATGTTCGAGATATGCAGGATTACACTTGGGCATTTGCGTCCAGTTGAGAGCTCTAACAAATACTGTCCCCTGCTCCTCCAAATTAGGTGTTATAACGTGGGTGACGACTTGTCCCCTAGAAGTGTTGGCTGCTCGGACTGTCCCAATCTTCGAGCCAAAGACTTTGGTTGAGGATCCTAGTGGACCTCAAGGTTTCGACGGCGTAGCAGTATTCCATTTCGCATACAGCCATGCGCTACACACTTGCTAACAATCTTATGCTACACCGGCCTTCGCGTTGCGTCGTCAGATGGTCGCTTTAAGTACAGCAGGGTGGGCAAGCAAAAACCGGGCACTACTGGCGCCTCCCGCCTAGTTCCGTTCCGGCGACATCCTATCGACTCATCTTTATAAACTGGCTTTCATTCACTCCCCGTTGCCATTAGTTGCAATATCTACTCCGCCGCCACGGCTACAGGCACTTCAGGGACACGCTTCAAATCGGTTCACTCAGTCCATCTTTCACTAGAACAAACTGGACACCAGACTGCTCTTGTACACACGCCAGATTCGCCTTCTATTGGTGCGTGCTGTCTTTTTGAAACTGGGATTCAAAACTCAAGCACGGTGAATTATGCATTAATTCTTGTTCAACTTTGTCATCGATGAAATAATGAGGCGAACACTGGACGGTTTTCAAAACCCCGGTGTTCAAGTTGTTGCTGGCGAGGGCCTTGTCGATCTAGAGTACGCAGATGACATCGCCCTCATCTTTGAAGACCATAGCGAAGCACAAGCCCTGTTGAATAAACTGACCGCCATCATACCACCATTTGGCATGCGCCTTGCACCTTCAAAGTGCAAAGTCCTGCTTCAAAACGTGCCATCTGCGAACATATCCCTTACAATTCAAGGAGAACCACTGGAGATTGTGGAAAACTTCACATACCTAGGTAGTTGTATTAGCTCTAACGGAAGTGTGTCTGATGAAGTCAGTGCAAA